TGAGACTCTGTCTCAAAAAAAAAAAAAAAAAAAAAAAAAAAAAACCAGAAAACAAAACTCATTCTATACCATTTGAATTTCCATTTCCAACAAACTAATCAATTTTGGAAGAAAACTCAAAGTTGAACTTAAAATGGAAACTGTAATGATCGTTGTCATTATCTTGTATTATTTAGCTTTTAAAAAAATCTTTGTGTAAAGGTATATACATTTCAAGAAAAAAACATCTTGTTGGAAAACATGGCAAAGACTGGTTGAAAATATCCCAGGAAAGCTGCAGAGTGGTCTTCTATACCATGTGGGAGATAAGGTTGGGTCACTCTGATAGGCCCTGGAACTGAGAATGCTAGTGGCTTCCCAATATCCTCTCTTCCCTTCTTCCTTAGTAGCAAAACCCCAGTTTTCATTTTAGCACGTTACTATACACACTCTACCCAGAAAAGGACTGCATCTTCCATCCTCCACTACAGTTAGGTATGGCCCTAAGACTAATTCTGACCAATGAGATATAAGCAAAAATGTTACATGGAACTTCTTGGAAGTTTCCTTAAGCGGGGGCAGGGGGAACACCCCTCTTTTCTTCCTCTCAAACTGCTTTGTGGAAAGGGGAAAATGAGGGCTAGAGGACAGCAAACATCTAGGTCCATCCTACAGTCAGAGAAGCAAACAGCAGTAAGGATCCTAAATCCTTAGTAACCACAGAGCACCATATTATCCTGGACTGCCTAATTCCAGACTTTTTTAATGAAAGACAAATGAATCTCTCTCTTGTTTAAGACTCTTTGTGGGGAGGAGGAGACTGTTATATGCTAAACTTAATCCTAAATGTTTTCAACAATAAAAATCAAAACTCAGGGTTTTTTTGTTTTTTTTAAGACAGACTCTTGCTCTGTCACCCAGGGTGGAGTGCAGTGTCGTGATCTAGGCTCGCTGCAACCTTCACCTCCCAGATTCATGTGATTCTTCTGCCCAGCCTCCCAAGTAGCTGGATTACAAGCACCCATCACCATGCCCAGCTAATTTTTGTATATTTAGTGGAGACGGGTTTTTTGCCATGTTGGCCAGGCTGATCTCAAACTTCTGACCTCAAGGGATCCGCCTGCCTCAACCTCCCAAAATGCTGGGATTACAGGTGTGAGCCACCGTGCCTGGCCCAAAACTCAATTTCACTTGAAACAACAGAAAGCTTTATGTACATCAAAAGTGTGCAAATTTGATGACTAAAAGGGAGACTGTCGAAGAATCTTGAAATGACTAGGCAGGAAGTTTAGGCCAAAAAGTCAACTGGTGTATCACTCTGATCAACTATCCATAACTATTCCACATTAAAATGATAGAAATAAAATTTTAACTTAATCATTCTTGAATTCATGAGAAAAAGTCAACTATGTATACTCTCAGTTTCTTCATCTGAAAAATGGAGTCAATAATGCCTACATTACAGACATGTTGTCAAACTCAAAAAGAGAACAAATGTTCTTCAGCTTACAATGGGATTTTGTCCTTATAAACTCGTCAGTTGAAAATACAGCAAGTCAAAAATGCATTTAACACACCTAACCTACCAAACATCACAGCTTAGCCCAGCCTACCTTAAACATTCTCAGAACACTTGTATTAGGTTACAGTTGAGCAAAATCATTTAATGCAATGCCTATTTTATAATAAAGTGTTGAATATGTCCTGTAATTTACTGAATATTGTAACAAAAGTGAAAAAATGGATGCTTGAATGGTTTCTACTGAATGAATATTGGTTTCTACTGAATGTGTATTGTTTTTGTACCATTGTAAAGTCAGAAAACTGTTAAGTCAAACCATTCTAAGTTGCGGATAGTTTAACATCTATATGCTAAACTATTCGTAAACAGCATTATATACTATTATTATCATTACAATTACCACCACAATAACCCACTTTTTGGTGAGTAATAAAACAAAAAAGATTAAATAAAAGCTATTACATAGGTAGAAACTTGGGTTTGGGGCTCAAGGAATTCAGTGAGCTTGTCAAGTCTCTTTCACCAAATTTCTGATCTTACTGTCTTTCAGAAAATCATTATATCAGGCTTGGTGCAGTGGCTCATGCTTCTGGTTGCAGCTACTCAAGAGGCCAAGAGAGCATCACTTGGGACCAGGAGTTTGAGACTAGACTAAGCAACACAGCAAAATCCAGTCTCTTAAACATATATATATATGAAAAATATAAATTACATCAGGAATTTCAGTTTCCTTCTTTAAAGTATGGGGGAAAGAAGGGAGTTGAGAGGTTGAAGGGGGGGGGGGGAAGAACAACAGTTGTAAAAGGCTTCAAGTAATTAGGAAGTAAGATACATACAAAATATATAAACCTGTTCTAGGATTTCCCAAGTTGTCAAAAGGTAGTACAACAAGTTTAAAAGTACTGCTAGCAATATTTTTCTTCATTGAAAAGAAAAATACTAAATACAAATATAGTTTCTACTTAGTATGTAACAGTCTATCATTAAAAGCACAATGTCATCCAGAAATAAGGATAACGTGTGAGTCCCCCTGCTGGAGTGCAATGGCACAATCTCAGCTCACTGCAACCTCTGCCTCCTGGATTCTAAGCGATTCTCCTGCCTCAGCCTCCCGAGTAGCTGGGATTATAGGCACAAGCCACAAATCTGGCTAATTTTTTCGTATTTTTAGTAGAGACGGATTTTGCCATGTTGGCCAGGCTGGTCTCAAACTCCTGGCCTCACGTGATCTGCCCGCCTTGGCCTCCCAAAGTGTTGGAACTATAGGCGTGAGCCACCGTGCCCAGCCTTACATTCTTCTTAGGCCGAAAAGGAAGATAATTTTTAACCAGTACATAAAGGCATAAACAATACAAATGGAATCTATTTTGATGATAATCATATTATAAATATTTACTTAATTTCAACAAAGTCATGGATTTTTGCTCTTTAAGCAAAATATACCTGAATCTCTTTAATTTTTGTACCTAAAAATGATTTGTCTTCTCCAGAATGTGTTTAAAGT